TCTGCTGGACCGAGTGGGGCGGGCTGAAATGACCGGGGCGAGGTGGTTCCTCAGATAACCAAGTATCAGTGTTAGGCTGATCTTTCCAAGTATCAGTGTTAGGCTCACTAGTTGATAATTCCTGGAATCTTTTTTTTTTCTTGAAGAGGGATCCACATTTACTCTTCTTCAGTCCTCTGGGAACTCCCGTTACTTTCAGAATCTTCAAAGATAATTGACGGAAGTCTTGGCAGCTCTTCTGTCAGTTCCTTAATATTCTACAGTGTTCAGATTAGCTAGAATATACTTTACTGCATCTTTAATGAGCTGTATCCTCCCCTGTCATATTCACACCCAGCCTGTGCTCCCCAAATTACCATTTCCTTTGTATGGAAAGACTGAGGCAAAATAAGAGTTGCGTTCCTATGCTTTTATTTGGGGGGGGGGTGTCAAAATTTATCCACCTGGAGTAAGCAGTGAGTCCACTGCCGCTGCTGTCTTCCTCCTGGTGTTGACATGTTCAGAGAAAATCCTTCTGGCTGGATTTTGCCTCTCTTGCTAGCCTTGACTCATTTTCTGTCTTCACCTTCCATCTTTGCTTCATTTCTGTATGTCTGAGCTGAAGCTCCATAGACATTCTTGGTCTCAGCCATTCCTCCAGTTTCTTGTAAGCACTGTGTTCTAGCTTCAGCTTCTCTGTGAGCTGCATGTTTAGCCGCAAAGGCTCCTTTAGATATTTTGTAGTCTTGTTCTTCATTGGTATTATCAACCAGCTACAGTATCTTTGCCTTCAAGGAATCTTTTTTCTCCCACGGCAGCTTCCTTACTATTTCCCTTAGTTTATTAAAATCAGCCTTTCTAAATCAAATGATTTGAATTTGACTGTTTCTTTAACCAAGAGTTTTGTTCAAATCAAGGACAGTTCATGGTCATTTTTACCCAAAGTACCCACACCTTAAATATCTTTAATGAATTTAATGAGGATTAAATCTAAGGTAGCGCATCCCCTAGTGCCCGTCTCAGCCTTTTGGAAGAGAAAATATCACCAACACAATTTCCCGGATGTATATGCCTGTGTAATGGAAATCCCCAACACAAATATTTTATAGTTTTTTGAGGCTCCAGTTATTGACTTTAATGAACCTTCCTGACTACTTCTGCTCTGCTCTGTAGCAGAGTCCCAGCAGGATACCCCTTCTGTTAGCCCTTTTATCTTCCCCAGATGATCTCAGCCCTCG